CCTCCCCTGCCCCCCACCCTCCTCACCGGGGGTCTCCTGCCCCCCTTCGCTTCCAGGGATCCGGGACAGTGCCCCCACCAGCAGCAGCAGCAGGGGGACCCCAGCAGAGCCCATGGATGCTGCCCCACAAGCAACCCCAGAAAGAGAGGACAAAGATGCAGATGCTTCCAGCCCCAGAGGTGGAATCGGTGGGTCTGGATTGGTGGCAAGAAGAGTTTTTTTCTCTGAAATGTCAGCGTTGGGAGAGCGCAGAAAAGCAGGGGGGCCAATGGGAATTCTCCCTTCTGCAGCGTCATCAGTCGCCGGGCAGAGCCACTCTGGGTTTCGCCCCATGGAGGAGATAGTTCGGAGCAGAGAAAAACGCAGAGAAGGTGGAAGGGGGAACCCCTTCAGACTTGGGGGGCTGCAGCTCCAGGGGGTCCCCTGCCAACTCAGAGGGGACCATCCCCTTCCTTTGCCCTCCCCAGGACTCTCAGCCGGGCTCTCCTTTTCTCTGGGGGCCTGGAGGGGGTGGACTGGATGCCCTTTGAAGCTTCCTTAAGGCCCCGGGTGCGAGGGGCTCTAGGCTGGGGCTCCTGGGGCTCCGAAGTGGGGCCAGGTCCTTCCTGGAAAAAGCCAGGACTTTAAAAACCAGACTAAAGGTAGAAAGACAGGTAGAAAGAACCAAAGAGAGGGGCCCCAGATTCAGGGACAGAACAGGGCCTTCGGGGCCCTTCAAAAGGCCAGCAGGGTCAGGCCAGTCTGATCAGTCTGACCTCCGCAGGGCTGTTGCTCCAGAGGGCAGGGGCCATGGCAGGAAAGGCTCTTTCCAGATGGGAAACCGGGGAGAGGCAGCCCCATTAGTGGCCCGGCCCCCATCTGTGGAGGGCTTTAAGGTGACCACCAGCATCCTGAATCGCCCCTGGAGGCAGGTGGGGCACCAAGGCAGCCGCGTGTCTCCTGCGCCCAGAAAGAGACGCCACGGACTGCCTGCTCCAGCCTTTGCTGCCCAGCTGAAGCCTCCAAACGCTCTCCAAGGGCAGCCCCAGGTAGATCACCTTGCAGCAGTCCAGCTTGGGCAGGAGTGGGTGGAGACTCCTTGAGCTGCATTTCTTTCTCTTGGCCGTCCCCCCCCCCCCCCCCTCCCCCCCCCCCCCCCCCCCCC